TAGCTTTTGGAATTGCTCTTGACCTCCATCATCTATTATTAAGTGAAAAAGACAAGTTATAGAATTCAAGTAAGACATGGGATGGATTGAACATATACATTTGCCTCTGTTTCCAAAACAGTTAAATAGGCAAGAGAGAGAAAAAAACTAAAATTAGCACAAAGCCACAAAGACAAAGAAGAAGACAGGAGAGAGCATCATAGAGAGGGGTCATAAAATTTTGAAAGCTAGAAATATAGCCAAACTTAAAACTGACTTAGCATGCTAGAAAAACGAAAACCTGTCCATAGCTGAGATTTCCTAGGTACCTCTGAAGGCTGGGGTATGGGTTGGGGAAATGGAGGTTGGTAGAAAGTTTATAAAGAGAAGCAATTGGCTCTTTAGATCTTTCCTACGTCTTGACTGTAGCCTGGAGATCTTCTTTCTAGAGTAGTTAACCAAGAGGAGGTCAAAATGGTGGCAGCATAGGAGGATGCTGAACTTATACTCCACCTCATAAGCAAACTCAAATATACATGTATGTAGCGAGCAACTACCCTTGCAAGACAACTGAGGGCCGAATGAACAGCTCCTGAACAACAAAGAACAAGACCGAATAGAGAAGTCTGGGAAGCCACGGGAGCCCACTGGGAACTGCAGGAACCTCCAGGCCAGAGGATCCAGTGAGTGCCATTATGTTCCCCTACAGGGGGATAGGGTGGGCCCCCAGGGGCTTTATTCAGGTGATTTAGCCTACCTTCAAGATCACCAGAGCCTTTTGTCACCAAATAAAGGGAGCAAGCAAGAACAATAAATTATAACCACATGCACCTGGCTTCTCTGCAAGACACTGTTCCAGGCCTGCAAGCCAGTGTGTCAGATGCCTTAAGCACCCACTCGGCTCCTACTGGCCTGCCAAAACCACTCAGCACGTAAAGCTGACACAGAGGTTGCTTCTACACGGAACCACTTTCTGTACAACAAACAAGAAAGAGACTGTATAGAGAAGGCTAGAGAGCCGTGGGAGCCCTCCGGGGACTGCAGACATTCTCTGGGGTCAGAGGTGCTGGTGAATACCCATGGTTAACGTCCCCCTCTACCTGCATAGGGTGGGCAGGGGCTCCGCGTGGGTGGGTTGGCCGCCTGCAAGGTCACAGCAACACATTCCTGGACACATCACCTGAACCCATTTCTGCCCAAAGGTAGTAAACAGGACCAACAGGGCATTTCCACACACTCCCGGCCTTCCACCCAGAGCAGCTCTGGCTCAGCAGGCCAGTGCCTCGGACTCCTTAAGCACCCATTCTGCTCCTACCAGCCCACCAAAACCACCGGCACACAGACTGCACAGAGGCTGTCTACGTAAGCCCACCTTTTCAACACTGGAAGAGCTGATTTGTCTAATTCATGTAAACAAACATAAAAGTCAAACAAAATGAAAAGACAGAATATCTCTCAAATGAAGGAACAAGAAAAATCCCCAGGAAAAAAATGCTAAGTTAGCAGAGATAAGTAATTTGCCTGATAAACAATTCAAAGAAATTGTCCTAAGGGTGCTCACTAAACTTTAGAGTGGGCTAGAGGAACGTAGGAAGAACATCAACAAAGAGAAAGTATAATAAAGAACCAAGCAGACCTGAAAAACACGATAACCGAAATGAAAATTACATCCGAATCAACAGCAAATGAGCTAATTCAGAAGAACTGATCAGCAACCTGAAAGACAGGCTAGCGGAAATCAACCAATGAAAACAGCAAAAAGAAAAAAAGATTTAAAAAAACAAGGATAGTTTAAGGGGCCCCTATCAAGTGCTCAAAGGGTTATATTATACGGATTCCAGAAAGAGAAAGAGAAAGGTACAGACACTTTAAAGAAATATTGGATGAAAATTTTCCTAACCTGGGAAACAGACATACAGGTCCCAGAAGCACAGATAGTTCCAAACAAGATGAACCCAAAGCGACGCTCACCAAGCTGTGTTGTAATTAACCAGTTTCTCACTTGCCCTGAGGATGCTCGCTGGAGGCTCTTGGGCTGCAATGTTTATCCCAGCGTAACTCACCGATTGCAGTCCTAACCTTACCCCCAAAGTTAGCCATGAAATATCTCGTTTTTATTATTTTCATGTCACTCTAGTATATCAATAGGCTTTGGAAACAGATGATGCAAACAAATGGTGGCAAGAAGATCCAGAGAGAAACGCAGTATTTTGGGGTGGAATGTGATGTTCTGCTTTGTTGTTTTGTGCTTTGAAATTTACCACACGAAAAAATTATTAAATATTGATCATCATATACATTTCTGCTACATGAGGATTAGAGACAAGTTCTGTTTAGAAATAACTCCAAGAACAATTTTTATATATCATTTTCACATCGAAAACTAGTCAGATTTGCTTCAGTCTCAAAGAGCGTGTTTATGTAAAATTAACGCTGGCAGCGAGCTGCACTTTTTTTTTCTAAACAGGAAATGGGTTAAAATGGCAAAAGTTAAAGACAGACAAACTTGAAGGAAGCAAGAAGAAAGCAATGAATCACATATAAGGAAAACCCCATAAGGCTGTCAGCTGATTTCTCAGCAGCAACTTCACAGCCAGAAGTTAGTGGCAAGACAGCTTTAAAGCGCTGAAAGAAGGGAACCTACAACCTGGAATGATTTATCCGGCAAGGTTGTAATTCAGAATTGAAGGGGAGAGAAAGATTTTCCTGGACAGGCTAGTGTAGAGTTCACTTTAGGGTGTGATCAGTTCAGTTACTCATTAGCCTTAGCTGGGAGCTAGTCAGCTTTAGCTCCATTCCTATTTTGGGTCCTCAGTTCTTGACTCCAAAGTGGAACTTGGCCTTTTAGAGAGAAGGTACACCGCTTTTCTCTAAAACCCCAAACTCACAATATGAGCACAGTTAACAAAACCCAAATCAGCAACCATGCTTAATCCCCCAATTAAGATTCTTTATCATAAATCATTTTAATTGGCTAATAAATGCATGGACATTTTGTGTGTTTGCTTGGCTTATGATTAGTCTTCATTTGCCCAGGCCAAGAGACTTCAGCACCCAGGACCAGCTCAGCCTTGTTCCATCACACCCTTAGAAGCCAAAGGCAGGAAAAGAAAGTCGTTTGTTCTTTCAGTAACAACCTTATTTTACGGAGGAAGAAAGGGAGAGGTCAAGTGAATGACCCAGGCCAATATTCAGTGAGTGAAAAACCCCAAGTCTCCTGAATCTTGGTCCAGTACTCTTTATCAGATTCTGGCTTGATTAATGCCCCTTATTCTTCCCTCTGTCCTGTGTCATGCACTTTTATTTACTCAGGATCAGTTGAGTAGTTATTTCTCAGTCGGGTTTTTTGTTTGTTTGTTTATATCCATGGAGAATTTGAGGTGAATTTGCTGAATAAGATTGCCTTTAGGTTTAATCCCAGAAATCTCTGACTTTATAAAACAAGCATGAGGTTCTATGCTGATCACGATGCTCTAGGATTTCTGAGGAGTAGAATAAAATAAAGCAGTGGATGTAAGAAAAATGCGAGGTTTCTCTTCCTATCCCATATGGGAGTTTCCTGGGAAACAATTTGGTAGTAGTATTCTGAGTTTATCAGTGGTGTCCCATTGTGTGTATTTTTTCAGCTAGTGAGCGGAGGACCACTAGTATTTCAAATGGCAAATGGAATCTTTTCAGCCTAGTTATTTATACAGAATTTGCCATGCAGCATACTTTTTCTGCCAATTAATCAGTGGGTATTTATTGATCGTCAAGCTGTGTTTAGTATTCATCTAATTGCAATGCAGGACAAAGAAAGAGGAACTGGTTTCTTCTCTCTGAGAGACCTCGATTATATAAGAAATATGAGGCTAAAAGTATAATAAAACACGAAATAAACTGTAAAGCACAGGGGGATATGTGGTTCATAATAGCCAAAAGATGGGAGCAACCCAAGTGTCGGTGGACAAATGGGTAAACAACACATGCATATACGTGCAATGGAATATATTCCACCTTAAAAAGGAAATCCTAGCACATATTATAACAGGAAGGAACCTTGACGACATTATGCTAGTGAAATAAGCAAGTCACAGAAGGACAAATATTAAAGAATTCCACTTATATGAGGTACCTACAACAGTCAAAAAATAGAATGGTGCTTGCTAAGGGATGGGGATGGGGGTGGGGACATGAGTGCTTATTATACAGTTTCAGTTTGGATGATGAAAAAGTTCTAGAGATAGACAGTGGTAAGGACTGCACAACAATGTGAATGTGCTTAAGGCACTGAAGTGTATATTTAAAAATGGCTAAAATAGTAAATTTTGTTTTATATATTTTACCACAATAAAAAGAATTTTTAAAAGTATATAGTATAATTCATATAGTATAAAAATTATAACTTATAGTATAATTTATATAGTATATAGTATAAAAAGTATAATTTTTAAAAGTAAATTATTTTCTTAACATCCCCAGGAATCGCCTTGTATAGCAGCTTTCACAGGCTAGAGCATCACCCTTCTGCTTGCAGGCTGCCGCATCATGATCTTACGGTGGAATCTTATCTGTTGGAATGATTCGAGACACATGGTCCAGCTAGGTCCACTCCAAGTCCTCTCTCCACCCCACCATGGTCTTCCTCTTTCGCTTTCCTTTTTAATCTACTGTTTCCCTTGCAGCTGTATCCCCTTTCCTCATATGTGATTCCCAGCCCCAATCAAAATTAGTGCAGCGAAACTGGACGACTGAGGCACCAGGGCCCAGATAGGATTTTTTTTTTTTCTATTTTTGCTTGCAATTCAACCTCTGTCCGCAGTCTTGAGAGAACCCAATAATACATCAAGCCAGATTCAACCCACACAACCTAAATTACATCTCCAAAGTATTAGTGCCTTTATTCTATGACTCCTTCAACAAGGCTTCCGATGATCGAGACTTTCCCCTGCTTGACCACAGTGGGGTTAGAGGGGTTCCGCCACAATTCCCTGGTGATCCTGCGGAAGAAGTCTGACTCGCCGTGCGCCCCTCTCTTTCAGTGCACCGCTTCCTGTGGAGGTGGCTTTCAGAAGAGGACGGTCTATTGTGTCTCCTCTGAGGACAATAAAACTGAAGACCAGGACCAATGCCTGTGTGATCATGAACCCAGACCTCTGGAATTCCAAAACTGCAACCAGCAGGCCTGCAAGAAGAGTACTGGTGAGTCAATGGCTTTGCTTACGGGGAGAGAGCGTCTCATAAATAAGTTGTGTGTAAATAGTTTTAGTTCTCTTTACTGGGCCAGGAATCTTAATGTGGAATTGGCCAGCCAGCACCCCTGGGAGCAAGCTGTCTGATTTGATGAAGTGTGACTCTTAATCCTTTTTTTATTTAGAGTTTTTTTTAGCTACTTGATATCTTTTTTTATGTATATATTGGTTTCAGATATACAGCACAAAGGTTAGACATTTGTATAATTTATGAAATGATTCCTGATTACTCCAGCACTCGTCTGGCACTATGCACAGCCATTACAATATTGTTGACTATATTCCCTATGCTGTTCTCTCCGTCCTCGTGACTGTTGTGTAACTACTAATTTGTACTTTTTCATCCCTTCACCTTTTTCACTCAGCTGCCCAACCTCCCCCCCTCTGGTAATCACCAGTTTGTTCTCTTTATTAGTGAGTCTGTTTTCATTAGTTTGTTAATTTCTTTTGTTCTTTAGAGTGTGCATTTAAGTGAAATCGTATACTGTTTATCTTTCTCTGACTGATTTCACTCAGCATAATATCCTGTAGGTCCATTCATGTCATCGCAAATGGTAAGATTTTTAATTTTATGGCTGAGTAATATTCCATTGTATATATGTGCCACTTCTTTATCTCGTTGTCTGTTGATGGGCACTTAGGCTGCTTCCATATCTTGGCTATTGTGAATAGTGCTGCCGTGAACATAGGGGTGCATAGCTCTTTATGAATTAGTGTTTGGTTTTCTTTGGCTAACTACCCAGAAGTGCAATTGCTGGGTCAAAAAGCAGTTCTAGTTTTAATTTTTTGAGGAACCTCCAAACTGTTTTCCACAGTGACTTTACCAGTTCGCAATCCCACCAACAGTGTACAAGGGTTCCCTTTCCTCCACATCCTCACCAACATGTGCTCTTTTTTGATTTATTGATTATAGCTAATTTGACAGGTAATATGAGGTGATATCTCATTGTGGTTTCAATTTGCATTTCTCTGATGATTAGTGATGTTGAGCATCTTTTCATATGTCTGTTGGCCATCTGTATGTCCTCTTTGGAGAAATGCCTATTCAGATCTTCTGGCTATTTTTTAATTGGATTGTTTGTTTTTTGATGTTGAGTTGTGTGAGTTCTTTGTAAATTTTTGATATTAACCCCTTGTCAGATGTATATCATAGGCAAATATCTTTTCCCATTCAATAGGTTGTCTTTTTGTTTTACTGATGGATTCCTTTGCTGTGCAAAAACTTTTTAGTCTGACGTGGTCCCATTTGTTTATCTTTTGTCTCCCTTTATCAGAAAAAAATATTACTGAGAGCAATATCAGAGAGTTTACTGCCTGTGTTTTCTTCCAGAAGTTTTATGGTTTCGGGTCTTACATTTAAGTCTTTAATCCATTTTGAGTTTATTGTTGTATGTGATGTTAAAATGCGGAGTCCTTGTGTATTGGAGTCTAAAGAACAGGGACACTGGAACTTGGGTGGGAGGTGAGAGTGACACATAAAAATGGACCCAAAAAATTAATTTTTTGTCCAGATCTCTTTAGGAAGATCTGAATGGTAGAACATCACTGTTGTCTGCTACATTTACGTTCACTTTTAAAAAGTATCTCAATCGAAATGATATATGGTCTCCTTAGACATTTTAAGTGTATCAAACTGCAGCGTGAAGAGGTTAAGTGACAAGTTTATGATTACACGGCGGGGTGATGTCAGAGCCATAATGCCAAGCCAGGTCCCCTTCTCACTCTTCACATGCCGCACTTCCTCACAGGTGGAAAGAATCCACCTTTGGAATCAGCAATGGGTTTGCATCCTGTAGCAGCCACTTTCTAACTACATGACCTTGGTAAGTTATTTGACTCTCTGAACCTCAGTTTTTTGGAGGTATAAAGGGAATAATAACACAAGCCTTACAAAGTTGTTGTGAAGACTTTAAATAGTACATAGTAAGTGCACTTAAAAAGAAAAAAACTCCATCGCAAACCAGTTTAGTTACCTCCCTTGGACAAGTTACTGTATCTCAATAGACTATAGCTTCCTTATCCATAGATGAGAGAATTCAATAATGAACTCTAATATCCAATATATTGATACTTTGAGCTTCATTGACATGTGAGATTTCTAAATTAAATTAAAAACCTAGATATAAAGTTTTCACAGAGGGAGAAAGGATTTTTGATAGTTTATTTATATCAGTTACAAAGTAGAAAATGCTGCATATAGATGTAGTCTAGAAATTGGGATTTAGAGGATCAGGATGATTTTACTCTGCCCCTAAATAAAGAATTGACTATGAGGCATCAACTAAGGGTCATGCTGCTCTTGAGAAAGTACCATATTGGTCATACACAATGGTAGTCTTTTCCCTAAGATTCTTAAAGAGGAGAGGTAGTGAATCCTGTGGTCTGTTAATCTGCTTCTTGCCTCCTTCTAAATACCAAGGGCTGGCATTCAACAGAGACAACCATTAGACTTAATATCTTGAGATGATTTTCCCTAGGAGTTGTTTATTTACAAAGCATGCATTTAACAAATATTGGTTGGGCACTTACTGTGTGCTAAACATAATGTCAAACAAAGAACAAAACTACAAACCAGTGACATAGTGATAACGGAGGTAAGGATGATATGAGAGTACTTGAGAAGGGCATCAAATGTAAACTGGGGAGAGTAGGGAAGACCTCCAGAGAAAGTGTAAGATGAGTAAAGAGGTTAGATGAGAGGTTCCAGGAAAAGCTTCCAGTTTTTGCAATAACCTGGAAGATGATAATGTCATGGGACACAAGTGTAACTCAAGTACAAAGTTCAAGGCGAATTAGGAAACAATAGGGCTAGAGAGGTAAGCTTGAGCTAGTGGATAAAGAGCCTTGTAAAAGCATGCTGATGAGTTTGGACTTTATCCCTAGGGAAGAAGGGAGCCATTGAAGTATTCTGAACAGGGGCATAAAGATAAGGAAGTCATCATGCTGGCTGCAATGTTGAAGATAGAGAAGGAAGACCAGTTAGGAGACCAGTTATACCCCAAGCAAGAGATGTATATGTCATGAATTCACTTGTATCTGCACTTCTACTGCCATGGTTCAAGAGCTGCTTAAAAGAGGGACTTGACAGGTCATTGTGCCTGGGGAAGGGAAGAGAATAATGCCCAGATTTCTGACTTGGGCAGCTGAGTAGATGAGGCTGCCATTCACTGAGAGGAATCCCAGGAGTGGGATTGGGAATAAGGAAAAGTAATGAGTTCTATTTAAGACAGGTTTGTTGAGGGACCTATGCATAATTTATGTAGAAATATCTTGTGGTTGATTTTCTGCACAAGTATGGAAGCCACGAGAGAGAGATCTGGGTTGGAAATCCAGAGCATGGTGCATTGAGAGGGCGAGAGTTTCCGAGAGAAGCTTCCAGTTTCTGCAATAACCAGGAAGGTGATGATGTCATGGGTCACAAGTGTAACTCAACTACAAAGTTCAAGGTGAATTAGGAAATAATAGGGCTACAGAGGTAAGCTTGAGCTAGAAGATATGATTATCATGTGCAGCTTCTTTCTGACCGACTTGTATTTGAGAGTGGATATCATTGACCTTACTTGAAACACTAAAAGCAGCTACCTAGGGCTCAGTTTTAGAAATGTTGTTAACTTTTTAGTCTTCTAGACTCTTGCTCATCAAAGTGTGGACCCCCTAAATCAGCTGTATTGACATCACCTGGGAGCTTGTTAGAAATACAGGATTTCAGGCCTCACCTCAGCCCTACTGAATCAGAATCCACATTTAAACAAGATTCTCAGGTGATTTGGATGTACATTAAAGTCTGAGAAGCACACTGTGTTAGACAAAGGGGCCAATTTGAGACCTTCTTCCTTTTATGTCATTTTATCACCTTCTGTGGTACCATGTTTTTAAAATGTTGAGGCTGAGTGATGCAAGCATCATGGCACAGTGAGAAGACTCCATTGTTTCTCCCCTTAAACTTACAACAGACACCACAGAAACACAAAAGATTACATAAGAATACAATGAAAGGCTATACATTACCAGATTCAATAACCTAGAAGAAATGGACAAACTCTTAGAAATATACAACCTTCCTAGATTGAATCACGAAGAATTGGAAAACATCAATAGACTGATCTATAGTAAGGAAATTGAAATACTAATTGAAAATCTTCCAAAAAACAAATTCCAAAACCAGATAGCTTTACTGGTGAACTCAAAACATGCAGAGAAGTTTAACACCAATCCTTCTCAACTTTCCCCCCTACCCAAAAAAAAAATGAAGAGAAGGAAATACTTCTTAACTCACAAAACCGTTACCCTGATATAACGAAGCAAGGACATCACCAAAAAAAAAATTACAGGCCAATAGCTCTGATGAACAGATGCAAATTGAATACAATTAAAAAGATCATACATAACGATCAAGTGGGGTTCATACCAGGGATGTAAAGATGGCTCCTTCTCTGGAAATCAATCAGCGTGATACAACACATTAACAAAATAAAAGATAAAAGTTATATGATCATATGAGTAGTGCAGAAAAAGCATTTGAGAAGATGCAATATCCATTTATGATGATAACAATAAAACAGATATAGAAAGAAATAATCTCAGCATAATAAAAGCCATATATGACAGCCCTTCAGCTAATATCATACTCAGTGGTGAAAAACTGAAAGCTTTTCCTCTAAGGTCAGGGACAAGACAAGGATGTCCATTTTCACTACTATTATTCAAGATAGTACTCTAAGTCCTAACCAGAGCAATTGGGAAAAAAAGAAAGAAAAGAAAAGGCATCCAAACTGGTAATGAAGAAGTAAAACTGTCACTATTTGCATATACATGATTTTTTTATATAGAAAACCCTAAAGGCTCCACCAAAAAGAAAAAAAAGTAGAAACAATAAACGAACACAGTAAAATTGGGAAGAAAACAACTCCATTTACAATTGCAACATAAAAGATAAAATATCTTGGAATA